CTCCTTCTCTTTGTTAGTATGGCTAAGGGTTTATCAATTTTATTTATTTTTCAAAAAAACAACTTTTTGTTTTGTCAATTTTTTCAATTGTTTCTTTTGTTTCAATTTCCTTGATTTCAGCTCTGATTTTAATTATTTCCTGTATTCTACAGCTTTTGGTGTTGATTTGTTCTTATTTTTCTAGGGTTTTGAGATGTAATGTTAGTCATTTATTTGTTGACTTTTTCTTCTTTTAAGGAATGAACTCCATGCAATGAACTTTCCTCTTTATACTGCCTTCAGAGTGTCCCAGAGATTTTTATATGTTGTATCAGTGTTCACATTTTCTCTAAGAATTTTTTAATCTCCTCTTTGATGTCTTTTGCAACCCATTGTTCATTCAATAACATATTATTTAGTCTCCAGGTGTTATTTTATCATTGATTTCTAATTTAATTCCATTATGATCTGATATAATTCAGGGTAGTATCTATTTTTTTTGTATTTGCTAAGAGTTGCTTTGTGACATAATATATGTTCTGTTTTAGAGAAGGTTCCATGTGCTGCTGAGAAGAAAGTGTATTCACTCGTTGAAGGATGAAATATTCTATATATGTCTGTTAAGTCTAGGTTATTGATTATATTATTGAGTTCTATAGTTTCTTTGTTCAGCTTTTGTTTGGAAGATCTATCCAGTGGTGAAAGAGATGTGTTAAAGTCACCCAGAATTATTGTGTTGTGGTCTATTTGACTCTTGAATTTGAGAAGAGTTTGTTTGATGAATGTAGATGCTCCATTGTTTGGGGCATATATATTTATAATTGTTATGTCTTGTTGATGAATGGTTCCCTTGAACAGTATGAAATATTCTTCTTTATCCCTCTTGATTAACTTTGGCTCATTATCTTCTTTATTTGATATGAGGATGGAAACTCCTGCTTGTTTCCACAGTGAGTGATATATTATCTTACAACCTTTCACCTTCAGGCTGTGGATGTCTTTTCCTATGAGATGAGTCTTTTGAAGGCTTTTTAAAATCCAATCTGCCAGTCTATGACTTTTGTTTGGTGAGTTTAGGTCATTAACATTCAGGGTTATTATTGAGACATGATTTGTATTCCCAGTCATATTGTTTATTTTTGTTATTTAACTTGTTTTCTCCTTTGATAAGTATTTCCTTTAGTGTAATACCCCCCTTTGCTGATTTTCATTGTTGTTTTTTGTTTCCTCCTCATGGAATATTTTGCTGAGGATGTTCTGTGGTGCAGGTTTCTAGTTGTAAATTATTTTAACTTTTGTTTATCATAGAAGGTTTTTATTTCATCATCAAATTTAAGGCTTAATTTTGCTGCATATAGATTCTTGGTTGGCATCCATTTTCTTTCAGAGCTTGATATGTGTTGTTCCAGGATCTTTTAGCTTTCAGGGTCTGGATTGAAAAATCTGCAGATATCCTAATTGTTTTCCCCTATATATAACCCGATTCCTTTCTCTTGTGGCTTTTAAAATTCTCTGCTTATTCTGTATGCTAAGCATTTTCATTTATAATGTGCCTTGGTGTGGATCTGTTGTGATTTTGTACATTTGGTGTCCTATAAGCCTCTTGTATTTGATTTTCCAATTCATTCTTCATGTTTGGAAATTTTTCTGATATTATTTYATTGAATAGATTGTTCATTCCTTTGGTTCGGAACCCCATGCCTTCCTCTATCCCAATAACTTTAAAATTTGGTCTTTTTATGTTATTCTATAATTCTTGAATGTTCTGCTCATGGTTTCTTATCATCTTTACTGTCTGGTCAACATTCTTTTCAAGATTATATATTTTATCTTCATTTTCTGAGGTCCTGTCTTCTACATGATCTAATCTGTTGGTGATGCTTTCTATTGAACTTTTAATTTGGTTTATTGTTTCTTTCATTGCAAGGATTTCTGTTTTTTTTTTCAGAACCCCTATCTCCTTACTGAAATAATCTTTTGTTTCCTGTATTTGCTTACATAGCTCTTTATCGAAATGATCTTTTGCTGCTTGTAATCGCTCTCTTATATCATCCTTGAATTCACAGAACATTTTAATTATGTACATCCTGAACTCTTTCTCTGTAATTTCTTCTGTTGTTCTGGCCATGGATTCTAATAACGTATTATCTTGGTTTTGGGGGGCACTTTTTTCCTTTATTTTTTCATGTTGTTCCTATGTCCTTCCTTCTAGCACTGCAGATCCATGGCTTTATGGCTTTTACACTGTAGGCTTATAGTGTCCCTGCAGGTTTTCAATACCTCTTCTTTAAGCGGGAGAACAATGTGAACAGATCCTAATACACACAATATACAACCTTAAACCAAATAGCCACGATTAAGATGTTTATGACTTTGTCACAATATACAGAAATGGTGAATTAAATTATTATCTACAATACAAACAGTAGGTTTGCAAAAGGGTCTATAGTTTCTGATGGTGACAAAGAACCGGGAGTGAGGTATAGGATGAGATGTTGAGGGGATAGGAGGTAAGGATTTGGAGTTATTAGATCTTAGAAAGCGTGAAAGAGGAATCTAAAGAAGTTGGTTAGTAGCAGGAGAAGAGAGAGAAAGTGTTTTTGGGGAGACAAGTAATTGTAATACAGTAGAGTACAAAAAAAACAAACAAACATAAATACTAGAAAAGTAAAAATTGTAAAAATTAGAGATAAAATAATATTTAACACCACTGTAATAACACTATTCAAACATTCCAGTTCTCAGTAGCCTAATTCATGAAAAATACTTGGTTTCACAAATGTTGGGGATTTGAGGGCAGGAAGAGAGAGAGAGAGAGAGAGAGAGAGAGAGAGAGAGAGAGAGAGAATCTCAGAGGAAAATACAAGGATTGTTTTTGTTGGAGATCAGTATCTTTCCAGCTCCCCTTCTCATCCAATAGGTAGGGTTTTCTGTTGTTTGCTGGTACCTCCATCCTCAGGATGGTGAAGGTCATTAGGGTGGGAGGGTTGGTCTGTGGCATGGCTCCTGGAGGTGCCGTATAGTCCTTGGCATTTCCCAATGGGAGACTGTACCCCAAGGATCTCATTTGGGGCCCACTTGTGTGATGTGGGCACCTGGTCTTATCTCCTTATATCACCTGTAGGCCTCGCCATTCTTGGTCTCTAATTCAGTCTATTGACTGTATCTCACTCACCCCTTCCCTTTCTACTTTCCAATCAGGAACCTTTCTCTCCAGAGGTCTTGTGGGCTGTGTTCTGGGGACTGCACACCTGTCACAGAGAGCTGTTTTATGTTGGGCAGATTGGGACCCGGTTTTGTGATCCGCTTTTGTGAGCTAGGCACAGGCCCCATAGCCTCAGGCATGGTGCCAGGTTAGGGGCTGCTGAGGCAGGGGAGAAGTTGGGGGCTTTCAGTACCTGGATATTGCTTCTAAGCCTCAGCCGGTTTTCCAAGCTGGGAGTTGCCCCAACTAAAGATGACCATGAAGGTGTCCTAAGATGGAGGAAGTTACTTTCAGCCATGGGCTGCTGGGTTGGATGGGACCATGTGGTGGCTTTGAGTGGCATGTTCAGAGCTGCAGCTCCGCAGCATGCAGTATTGTGGCTGGCAGGTGTCACCAGACCCAGTGCAGTGTTCCAACGTGCAGGCTACCTCACGTAGGGGACTGTGGCAGTGGTTGCAGTGCCCCAAGTTGGAGGTCACCGGAGGAGTCCCACATTGGTAGACGGGGATCCACAAGGGAGAAGTGGCCGGAGTTCCTGCATGTGGGCTGTGGCCAGGTGTCCTGTGTGGGAACAGCAGCTGGGATTCCTGCGTGGGTGGGCGGCCAGGAGTCCTGTGCAGGTGCTAATCAAGACTGATTTTAGAGGTCTTAGTCCACAGAAGTCTGGTTCCATTCCTGGGGACTCAAGGTGAGGCTGAACATCATGACGGAAGACTGTGGCAGAGGGAAGCAGGGGAGGGAGCGCCACACTGTCTTGATTACTGTAGTGTTAGAGTGAGACTTGATGTTGGGTGTGTCATTTCTTTGACTTTGACATTAGTCTTTTAATTACTTCCCCAACCCAGGAGTAAACAATACTTTTTTTTTTTTCAAGTCAGACATTTTTTCTTCTAGAAGTTTTATAGTTTAAATATTCTAATGTGGTAACTAGAAATTAGATTCTCACCTCCCCAGGGCTTCTTGTTGCTGCCTGCTGTGGGTCAGAGTTGTTCACTTATTCAGTGACTTTTCTAAACAATATTTGGAATGACTGTCATCTGTGAACGCTGAATTTTCTGTTAGCTCAGTGGTCAACTAGTGATTTGAGATTTCCTCAAATACCTGGAGCAAAAAACCAAACCAAACACCAAAAAACCAAAAACAAATAAACAAGCAAAATACTCTGGATCTTTGCAGACTGGCTCCATGTTGGAGCCCTTCTGCCTTAGTCTTCACTTTCTGCTCAGGTGGAGCCTAGACATTCAGCAGAGGTGAAAGGTTAGACTTTTCTCAGCTCTTCTCTGAGCCTGTGTCCAGCTCTGGGCAGGGTGTGGATTTGCAGATTTGTTGGCATACATGGAGCTTTCCAAAGCCTCTGTTCTCTCGCGTAGCTCTGTTCCCAGCCTCTTCCCTTCCTGGCTTTGTGGTAGGTCTATGGCTTGCTTATCTGTTATTTCTTGCCCCATGTGGCTGCAGCTAGTATATTTACCTTTAAATCTTTCCCACAAACACCACCCAGGAGGTTTCTCCAACTCTTAAACTTCTGAGGTATGTGAAGCAAAGACAACCCCATAGTGAATCCTTAGGGAGCCACTGGACAAGTCAAAACATATGGCCATGATTCCTTGTGTTCCCCCTGGCACCAGCAAGCTGTGTAACAGGGAAAAAAAAATCATGTAAAAATCTGGGGACAGAAATGACTGTGATTGTGAATGAAGAAGTCATTGAGCTTTTAGTAAGTGGAAGTTTGAAAGCAATCATTCAAACTTTACTCATTTTACTATATGTTGAATTTCTAGAAACTGGATTCAATTCAAAATGGTCTGAAGAAGAGCAGCCCTCGAGGAGAACCATTGCATCATGACCCCAGACAAAGAGCCTGTTGTCACAAACCTTTGTTTTGTTTGTATCGTGATCTTAATAGTCGGAATCATAGTCCAGGTCTCTGGTGAAAATGAACTTAGAGTAGACATGTCAAAAATAGGCCTGACGCATGTTCCGAAAGACCTGTCACCAAGAACTGAAGTCTTAGACATATCTCAAAACTACATATCTGAGCTTCAGATCTCTGACTTCAGCTTCTTATTGGGGCTGAAAGTTTTGCGACTTTACCATAATAGAATCCAGAGACTTGATTTTAGTGTTTTCAAGTTCAACAGCTACCTGGAATATTTGGATTTATCTCACAATCAGTTGCAAAAGATATCCTGCTACCCTGTGGTGGGTGTCAAACATTTAGATCTCTCATTCAATGACTTTGATGCTCTGCCCATCTGTACAGAATTTGGCAACTTGACGCAACTGAATTTCTTGGGATTAAGTGCTGCAAAGTTCCAGCCATTAGATCTGCTACCAATTGCTCACTTGCATCTAAATTACATTCTTCTGGATTTAGGAGGTTATTACGTGAAAGAAAATGAGGCAGAAAGTCTTCAAATTCTGAACACAAAATCACTTCATTTTGTTTTCCACCCAGAGAGTTTATTTTCTGTCCAAGTGAACATATCAGTTAATACTTTAGGGTGCTTACAGCTGACAAATATTAAATTGAATGATGAGAACTGTCAAGTCTTAATTAACTTTTTATTGGAACTCACTAGAGGTCCAACCCTACTGAACTTGACTCTCAATCACATGGAAACAACTTGGAAATGCTTGGTTAGAGTTTTTCAGTTCCTTTGGCCCAAACCTGTGGAATATCTCAATATTTACAATTTAACAATAGTCGAAAGCATTAATGAAGAAGATTTTGCTTATTCTGAAACAACACTGAAAGCATTAAAAATAGAACATATTAAAAACCAAGTTTTTATCTTCTCACAGACAGCATTGTACACAGTGTTTTCTGAGATGAACATTATGATGTTAACCATATCAGACACACCTTTTATTCATATGCTTTGTCCTCAAGCACCAAGCACATTTAAATTTTTGAACTTTACCCAGAATGTGTTCACAGATAGTGTTTTTCAAAACTGTTCCACTTTAGTGCATTTGGAGACACTTATCTTGCAAAAAAATGGATTAAAAAACCTTTGTAAAGTATCTCTTATGACAAAGAATATGCTGTCCTTGGAATTCCTGGATGTTAGCTTGAATTCTCTGGAATCTCATACACTTGAGGAAAATTGCACTTGGATTGAAAGTATAGTGGTATTAAATTTATCTTCAAATATACTTACTGACTCAGTTTTCAGCTGTTTGCCTCCCAGGGTCAAGGTACTTGATCTTCACAATAATAGAATCATGAACATCCCTAAAGATGTCACCCATCTGGAAGCTTTGCAGGAACTCAACATAGCATTCAATTCTTTAGCTGACCTTCCTGGATGTGGTACCTTCAGCAGCCTCTCTGTACTGATCATTGACCATAATTCTATTTCCCACCCATCAGCTGATTTCTTCCAGAGCTGCCAGAAGATGAAGTCAATACAAGCAGGGAGCAACCCATTCCAATGCACATGTGAGCTCAGAGACTTCATCCAACATATAGGCCAACTACCAAGTGAAGTGGTAGAGGGCTGGCCTGATGCTTATAAGTGTGACTACCCAGAAAGCTATAAGGGAACCCCACTAAAGGACTTCCATGTGTCTCCATTATCCTGTAACACAGGTCTGCTGATTGCCACCATTGGGGTCGTGGTGCTGGTGTTAGCTGGTTCTGTGACCTTCCTCTGCCTCTACTTGGATCTGCCCTGGTATCTCAGGATGGTGTGTCAGTGGGCCCAGACTCGGCACAGGACTAGGAACATCCCCTTGGAAGAACTCCAAAGMAMTCTYCAGTTCCATGCTTTTATTTCATACAGTGRRCATGATTCTRCCTGGGTAAARRRTGAATTAGTACCCTGCCTAGAAAAAGAAGATATCCGGATCTGTCTCCATGAAAGAAACTTTGTTCCTGGCAAGAGCATTGTGGAAAATATCATAAATTGCATTGAGAAGAGCTACAAGTCCATCTTTGTTTTGTCCCCCAACTTTGTCCAGAGTGAGTGGTGCCATTATGAGCTGTACTTTGCCCACCACAATCTCTTCCATGAAGGGTCTGATAACTTACTCCTGATCTTACTGGAACCCATCCCACCCAATAGCATTCCCAACAAGTATCACAAGCTGAGGGCTCTCATGACACAGCGCACTTACTTGGAATGGCCCGTGGAGAAGAGCAAACAGGGACTTTTTTGGGCTAACATCAGAGCTGCTTTTAATATGAACTTAACACTAGTCAATGAAAACAATGATGTGAAAACTTAAAGTCAGGAAATCCCAATTAACACCATTATCTTGAACTCTGATGAATATCATTGCTAGCTCCTATCTGGGGCTGCTTCCATATCCACCATGTCTTTGGGGAAGATACAATGAAAACCTTGTTTCAACTGAGTTGGGGAATTAGGTTTGGGGTGGGGATAAAGGTGATGCTCATTTTGCCAATTAGAGAAATCTTAGTATCTTCCTGTTTACTCTCCGTTTTCACATTGAAACAGTCTTTTTTGAGTAAATTCTCATTCAGGGATCTTTCTTCCCCACTCTCCTTTCCCAAATGAAAGAGGGAAAGGAGACTTTGTGGCTTCATGTCAGCAAGAAAAGAGATGGCCTCAGAACTGTGTGCACTGGTCCTTGGAGTCTCCTCTGAATCCTCATTGGACTCTGGGTGAGTTTTATCATCCTAAGCTTTGGGCCTAGGAAAAATATTAGGCCAGTTATGAAATATAAGACAGTATTTTTTCTACATGTGAGTAATAGTTTATTGACTTTTTGACTCTGACACACAAACATGTAATTAACCATTGGAAACTCATGGCATTATAATATGTGTGTAGAATAGGAAATATGGCCTTCAGTTATAGGCTGCTGAGGTGAAAGACTTGGGTATACTTGCTTGCCAAAGACACTGAGAGTCAAATTTATGTGTCACTTGATATCAAAATGGTTTTTGTTGTTGTTTTTGTTGTTGTCTTCGACTTTTGCCTAATGCCCAAAGCTGATGAAAGGCAATAAATGCTCCCATATTCACAGAGAGAGAGAGACACAGCCAGGCTGGACATCCTAAAAGAGCAGAAAAGGACTAGTAATTATCAGTCCATGTTGCCATCTCTAGAATCCTGGATTCAAAAGGGTCATTTAGAGAGTCATTAAGTGGAGGCTCCAAAATATGGCGAGATTGCTTTGAATACCTTCAAAAGGCAAGTGAGAGGGGCTCCCAGAATAGTAGGAAAGTAGTCTGTCATTCTCCTCCCAGACCGATGATTTGCAGAGGAACAGGAGTATGAGATCCATGCAGCAGGCGAGGTGTGATTCTTGGCTATTTATAGGTGCTGCATAAGTATTTGTTGAGTGAATAGATGAGTGCTTGTACTGGAGAAAAGGAGAGAGGTTGGCTTGGGCAGCACAGAATGGTAGGACAAGAGAAGGAGTACAGTGACTGCAACCTGTCCTTCCATCATCAGCATGGCAAAGGCATTTCCTGTGGGCCAGACTGACCATGGTAGCTGGGTTTGAGTTGTCACAATAGGACCTCAACCAACAAGGCAGCCTATTGTGCAGAGATATTGTGGCACCCAGAGGCCAAGGGGTTGGGGGGAAGAGGTGCATTGCAGGAGTTGTGGGAGAGATCAGCCAGATTGTGTACCATTTGCATTAAGGAACTGTGTGATATGGAGTCTACTCTATATTTGGGACTCCAAATAACCCACAGATGCATGCCATAAAAGGGCCACCTTTTGGTTTCTGACACAACAGGAAGTAGGAGTGTGATAGCCTATTTGCCTAAACCTGTAGTTAACGGCAGGGACATGCCTCTTTTTATAATACCCTCTTTCCTTGCAAAGCTCTAGGGACATCCAGAAAATAAGAAGGCGGAGAATACCAAGGAAAAGTAAAACAATTGGTTACATTCCTTCCTCCCTTCACTGAAGGGAAGGCCTGAGCTAGGGATAAGGCTGAATTTCGAATGAGCTTTTGAGTGTGAGATTCTGTTAACTGGAACTAGTCTGAGCCCTTTAATCCTGATTAGAAGTACAATTACAAAAATGAGACTTGAGAATTACTAGAATGTATGGGATCTTCCCAAGATCAGGTATTGTGGAGGGAGATCCAACAGAACCTGGTTGTAAAGAAGTGGCTAGACAGAAAAAAACAGGTTCTTTCCTTCTGTATTTCATTCATTCAATAAGCCAGTTTCATAATGAATGAATCACTGTGAAGAAATAAGCCATAATGAAATTTCAGTGCTCCTCTCTGTCTACATTAGCTCTTCCTTGCTCTTTTGGAGAACACTGTTTTCCTTCATAGGCCCTCTCTCAAATGGCAAATTCTTCCACAGCCTGTGTTGCACTGTTTCCTAGACTAAAAACAACGACTAACAAAAACCACCACAAAAATCCACGGCACAGATTTTAAATGATCAAATATTTTTAAGTTTAATAATATGTTTCCCACAAAATTTGTGGACATTAAACTATATTAATTGTAACCTTTTTAAAAAGAATTAAAATCTACATTTTTGTGATGTACGAACACACACACACACATTTCAGACATATGAAAGGTTTATCATAAGGGATCTATTTCTTTTTTAGATAAAGATTTTCTTTCTCCATGAATATTCTACTTTCTCTGTTGAATTCTGGTTGCCAACACCTGATACCAACTTGAGAAAAAGGGTATTTAATTTCAAGAATCTAGAGATGTCTCAGAACCCAAAGGCAGGGATAGAGCTGAGCTCTGAGGAAGTTTGAAAGCAGGAATGGCCAACTGCCCAAACTTTCTCTCCCTCTCTAGTGTTGGAGATATCTCTAATGTCTCCCACCTAAACTAAGTTACTGTGGGAGGTTAGGTATGAGGGTAGAGGAGTGGGAATGGGATTGCCTTTCCTGTAGCCATTACTGGGAAGGAGTGTGTATTGTTCTTCAGGGATGCCATAACAGAATACTGCAGACTGGGTGGTTTAAACAACAGAAATTTATTTCCTGACAGTTCTAGAGACTAGAAGTCTAAAATAAATTTCTGTGCCAGAAGGGTTGGTTTCTGGTGAGGCTTCTCTTCCTGGTTTACAGACGGTCACCTTCTTTCTGTGTCCTCACAGGGTCTCTTCTCTGTGTGCACATCCCTGGTGTCCCTTCCTCTTCTTACAAGGACACTATTCATATTGGATTAAGTTCCCATTGTATGATCTCATTTAACCTTGATCACCTCTTTATTATGTCTCCAAATACAGTCACATTTTAAGGTAGTGGGAGTTAGGGCTTTGACATAGGAATTTGGTGTGGGGCATAATACAGTCCATAACATGGTTATTCAGATAAATTTAAAAATATTGTGATGGAGATTATTAGTCACCACCAATAACCATTATCCTCTCATTTACTATTCAATGGCTCCAGTTTTATTAGGACCCTTGACAACCCAGCTGGAGACTGCATTTCCCAGCATTCCTTGTGGCTCCATGTGGACATGTGACTGAACTCTTAGCACTGGGATGGAACTGGAACCTGTGTGCCTCTCTATGCCATGTCTCTAAGAAAGATGAGCGTCGATTCCTCTGTCAGTTCCACTGACAAAGGAAAGATGAGTGTAGAATTGGAGAAGCCATCTAGAACCTAGAGGTGAAAGTCACATGTAGATGTGCTCTTCATTCTACCCCTTTGTGCTGCCCAAGACAGCCTCGCCGCAGGTCTGGACTGCTCAGCTCTGTTATGTGAGAGAGAAGTCAACCTCCATCTGTTGAAGCCACTTTGGATTCCTCTGATACAGCCTCTTAGAACATATACGGCCGTCTGCAGCACAGAGCAATGGTACAGCTTCCTCTGATTTCCTTCCTGTGTGGACCTATTATGAGACAACAGTGTGCAAGTTCCACTCTGCAACCTGGAGCAAAGCATCCATCAATGTGAGGCACCTGGATCAGCCTGTGCTACTGCAAAGCCTCTTCACTGGCCTCCTCGATTTTACTCTTGCCTCCCACATTAGAGTGGGTTTTTTAAGATGTAAATTATATTAGGCCATTCCCTGCTTAAAGCCTTCTAGTGACCTCCCTTTGCAGTTGGAACAAGAGTCCAACTCCTCCCAGTGACCTGGGTTGCTATCATGATCCGCCTGCTCACCTCTCTGCACTGTTCCCTTTACTTCTAATCCAGCCCAGTTGCCTTCTGGCTGGTCCCCCAGTGCATCACACTGGTTCCCCACTGTGTCACCATTACACTTGGCCACACCGCTTCCCCTGCTGAGATTAGTTTCCCTGAACAGATTGGTTTGTCCTCACCTTTCACATCCCAATGTCACCTCCAGTGTGGGGTGTGTGTGTGTGTGGGCTGCTCCCCCATTCTAAAACAACCCGCCCCTAGTCCTTGTGGGGCACTTTCTCCTGTTGGTTTTCATCACAGCACATCATTCTGCAGTTATCTTGTTTACTTGTTTACCTGTTCATTCGGTTTCTCCTCCACTGAAATGCAAGCCGCAGTTAAATGGGATCCTTCTCAATGTGTTCCCCGCTTCTCCCTGGTGTCGAGTGGACAGTTCATCGTCCATGGTAGATACACAGTCAAAACTTGGATGGAGGCGTCTCCCTGACTGGCCACAACATCTTTGAAGCCCTTGATGCAGAGGTGGCTGTGCTGGAGCACAGCAGGGGCGGCCCTGGTGGAGTCCACGCTGAGCTGCCCTGCTGGCGGGCTGATCTCTCAGGCTGCTGGGAGAGCTGCCCTTGGTCTTGGATACCTTTGTCTCTGTTTGGGTGTCCCCATGCTTGTCTCCACTGGCCACTTGTTAGGTGAGAGGACCCCGGGTGTCACCTGATGTTGGGAGAAAGGAACACTTCCTGCAGAGACCCAGCAAGCCTTTCCCCAGGGCAGCCCCCACACCCAGCAGCCCCTTCTGCCTGCGTGGAGCAAGCCCTTCTGTTGAGACAGTTGTGAAAGTTACTCGGATTTGATCAGTACATATGCTGTGCACCTGTGTAGAAATATCACACTGCACCTCTTAAATATACACCATCATTTCCTGTCAATCAAAATTTTAATAAATGTATATTTCAGCATGTCTAATATATTTTAAATGTTCTCACCACCAAGGAACAATAAGTATGTGAAGGGATGGTATGTTGATTAACTTGATTTACTCATTCAACAGGGTCTACGTGTGCCACATCCCATTGTACCCCATAAACATATGCAATTATTAATTAAAAATAAAATTTAAAAACCACAAAAAATTCTTCTCCCCAGCCTTTCTCAGTGAGATTAAAAAAATGGACTCAGAAAGATGAAGAAAAACAAACAAACAAACAATAAAAAAAAAATCCCACACAGGTAGAACGTCTCTTCTGTAGCACAAAAGGACCAGGCTGGTCGCAAACTTCATGGCTCAGCGCAGCTTTTATTGGGAACAGAGTGATGCCTCTGATGGACCCGCTTTCCTGGTGGAAAATGAGCCCCTGGACAAAGGGGGAGATTATACTTATATAGTTACACTGAGAGGTGACTTAATTAATGAGCATGTCAGGTTGGGCCTCAGGAATTTGGGATCGGTTTTACTGGGCGAGATGGTGGTGTCAAGGGTCAGCAGTCAGTATCTGGGGTTTGTCTTTTCTGGACCAGATAAAGGATCTGGGGAAGGATTTGTCTTGGGGAGGA